GAAAATTTAAAACAAAGATTCTCTTAAATAATTCATACTGTAACCAAAAAATCTAAAAAATATATAAACACACTTATTTTTTACAGACATTTTAATTTCAAATTTAGACAAAATTTCATATTTAAACCAAGAATTACGATTTTAGTTATTTTGTTGTGATTGTATAATATTATTCGTGGGTACTTGAAATTTCTAAAGTAATCTACTATATATATCTATGATAGTATCAGGGTTTGTTGTTGGTGTATAACGCGTTATAAGTACCTAATGGATATTGGATATGATTAATTTGGAATTCATTATAGGTCAATTTTTTTTAATACCATAGATATGTATATAATATGTCTTATACCTAGAAGGACATACCGTCTCCGCTCAGAATCGTTTTTCTTATACAATGATATTATATCATTGAATTCAAATTTAATACCATCCATTATACAATGACCCACTTGTAACCTACTGTACAGCAGAGCGACACCCACTTGCCCACCTTTTTATTTATATTTTTATATTTTTGTGTCTGTCATCACGTTTTAGGACAGTAAAAGTTCTTCGATTTTCTTCAATAGTACCTTTTCTGATAGGAAAGTGAATCTAGTTGGTACTTTAGGGGGTCAAAAGTAAACATTTCCCAGTAGTTTTCACAAGCGCCGGGAAAAACAACATAAAAATTAAGGAAAAACGGGAATTTTTACGCAAAATTGGTTTTCCAAAAAATCGATTTTGGTTATTGGTGTAACTCTAAAACAAATGAACGTATATACATGAAATTTTCACTATTTGTTAATATTTGCATTTTCTATACACGATAACATTTTCAAAATATTTTGATTTATTTTGAACTGTTTAGGGACATTTTCATTTTCCATTTTTTTTTAGTTTTTTTTCTAAAAATATCAATAAAATTTTATTTGTTGGTTGCGAAAGCTTGAAAATTTAATAGAAGGCTCCTAATATGTTGTTTCAAAGGCAGATGAAAAATATTAAAAATCCTTAGTCACAATTTTTTTTTATAAGCATTTAAAGTTCAAAAATTGACAAAATATGGAAAAATCACGAAAATTAGCAAATTATTTTGAGTTAAGAATTCGTAAACATTTTTCTTTTTAAATCTAAGATTTGAAAATGAAACACAAGATTCCTTATAAGATTATCTACCTTTATCAATAAAAAAATCTCTACCGGACAGTCAAATTAAATTTTTATGAGCGTTTGAAATTCAAATTTTTACAACATTGGATTTTCACTCGATTTCTCATGTAGCGATTTCCTTATTTTGTTGTAATTCAAAAACGAATAACTGTAGATACATGAAAATTTCACTGAATGTTTATATTAGCATTTCCTATACACCATACAATTTTGAAAATATTTTGACTCTTTTTGAGCTGTTTACGGACATTTTCAGTTTTCAATTTTTTTAGTTTTTTTTTTTATAATTGTCAATAAAATTTTAGTTGGTGGGCCAAAAAGTCTGAAAATGTAATACAAGCTTTCTTATATATTGTTACAATATCAGTTGAAAAATTTTAAAAATACATAGGCACGATTTTTTTTTATAAGCATTTAAAGTTGGAATTTTGACAAAATTTATCAAAATCTCGAAAATTATCAATCGTTGGAATTAAAAAATTATAAAATGTTCAGTTTTTATAACTAAGAGTTGAAAATTTAAAACAAAGATTCTCTTAAATAATTCATACTGTAACCAAAAAATCTAAAAAATATATAAACACACTTATTTTTTACAGACATTTTAATTTCAAATTTAGACAAAATTTCATATTTAAACCAAGAATTACGATTTTAGTTATTTTGTTGTGATTGTATAATATTATTCGTGGGTACTTGAAATTTCTAAAGTAATCTACTATATATATCTATGATAGTATCAGGGTTTGTTGTTGGTGTATAACGCGTTATAAGTACCTAATGGATATTGTGATATGATTAATTTGGAATTCATTATAGGTCAATTTTTTTTAATACCATAGATATGTATATAATATGTCTTATACCTAGAAGGACATACCGTCTCCGCTCAGAATCGTTTTTCTTATACAATGATATTTATCATTGAATTCAAATTTAATACCATCCATTATACAATGACCCACTTGTAACCTACTGTACAGCAGAGCGACACCCACTTGCCCACCTTTTTTTTACATATTTTTCATATTTTACTTGCTTTAAAATTTTTTTTTTATATCTTATGATAACTTAAATTAGGTTAATTTTTTTACATATTTTTCATATTATACTTGCTTAAACATTTTTTTTTTATATCTTATGCTAACTTAAATTAGGTTAATTTTTTTACATATTTTTTATATTTTACTTGCTTTAACATTTTTTATACCTTATACTAATTTAAATTAGGTTAATTATTTTACATTTTTATTTATGCATTTACTTGCTTTAACATTTATTTTTTTTTCTTTTATTAACTTAAATTAGGTTAAATGTATTTTAGTACATAGGTAAGTAACTTAAAGTAGAATATTTGTATTTGTTAATGTTATTCTGTAATTCTTATATACTAGTTATATAATATTTCGTATTTATACTAAGTACTCATTTATACATAAACTTAAATCGATTTAGTTATACCAATGCGTAATTGATATATATTTTCCATCTTAGAATCTATAATTTATGTGTGTACCTATTACTAAACTAGGTATTAAAAAAAAAGAAAAATGTTATTTAAGTATGAGAGTGTTGTGCGACGTCTTGATTTGAATTTTTTTATTTATCATTATTATTAGTGTAATTATGTGTTTATATTATATAGTTAAATATATTTTTTTTATACTGGGAGTCACCTAGCTATTATTTGATAACTGTTCGGATTCTATATCATGCCTTTTAAGTTTTATTGTTTTAATCTGGCAATTGCTGGAACTATATTGTTTTTTATGTGTGTTATGCGTTAAGTGGTGTGTTACGTTGGAGGAGTCTGTTAGTTCTTTATTTATTTTTGTATAATTATGAGTCAGGACTATTTGTATTTTATTTATATTATTCATTGTGTTTTTACTATCGTTTGTCATTGCTTTACATTTTATATTTCTATTTAGTGAGATGAGTGTCGGCACTTCTTGTATGTGGATTATATTTTTAGGAATTTTATTGCATTTTGTTGTTGTTAAAGTGCCTGGTATCCAATGAGTATTTTTATTAACGTTATATAACACTATGGGTGACCTATTTCCATAACAATATATTATACCCGTATTATTGTCGTAATTATATAATATGTAAGTATCATGGTCGTAATAATGTGCAATCGCAAGGCTAAATCCTCATCTGACAACCAATAATCTGGTAATTCGTTTAGATCTAATAATTGTAGTATCTCTAATATTGAAGTTATTTTATTAATTTTATGGTCATTGCAGACGGCGTATATCCCACAATACCCATCACTGAGTACGTTTTCTCCTGGTTTAAAAGTAGAGAATATATTATAGGCTTGATCGTTGTTTGGTTGTGTGAATTTTATTTTTGTTTCGTTTTTATCATTACTATATTGTCGAGAAAATTATGAATATTATTTATTATATCAGAGTGTTCTTTTGATTTCCAATTTTGTGATATGTTTTTGTCATTTTTATGGTATATATTTATTTCGATGTTAGTGTTTTGAAATTCTGAATATAATAATTGTTTTAATTATTATAAATAATTAATTGGTAACCAATTTAGTTTGTCTAGCCCCGACGCTAACGTAGGCATTGCAATTTTTGAAATATTTAGTTTTATGGCTTCAAGTTTTAGGTTGTGAATTGAAAATATTAGGTCTTCATATTTGGGCTTATGATAGTGTAATACTTTTGTTATTAAATGAAATATAGTTTTATTATTGCTGTTTATAGGTATGATGTTTCCCACATTTATTTGCTATGCCCTTATTCATTTTGAGGTCAGTAGATATACAGTGTGCTATAGCGAAGTTATCTGGGCACTTAAATATGCTACCTTTTATTTCTATAATATTATTGGTGTTATTTATACAATTTATCCCGTTTATATAGTTAATTTTTAGCTGAATGTTTAAATTATTATTTAGAATAATATTATTGTCTTTAAAATCGATTAAGGCATTGTTTTTTATCAAAAAATTATTTCCTAGTATTATTGCGCGAGATTGATTTTTGACGACGTAGGTGTCTACATCGAAGTTGTATTTGTTAATTTTAATTTTGATTTTTGTTATACCTGCCACGCATAGTGATTTATTATCTGGTCCTGATAGTTGTATAATGCTTGGAGTTATTGTATATTCTAAGGACTATAATTCTTGTCTAATACAACATAATATGTTTGCCGTGTCAACTGTTATTGGTACAGTGATATTATTAAATTCAGCTTTGATGTAGAGGGCATCGGGTGTACAATTAATTTTATTTATGTGTTGATACGAGGGTGCCGTAATTAAACTATTAAAGGTGAAAAATTATCAGCCGCGTTTAACCTTACATTTAGTTTTTTTGACTTGTTGATGTATAGATCACAATTGTTAGCGGTATGCCCGAATTTATTACAAATTTGACACACTGGTGGGCGTGGTTTATTTCTAAAAAAACATTTATCTTCTGAGTGATTAGTTTTTGAGCAAATTGAACATTGCTTTTTTTGAATATTAAAGTCCCTATAGTTATATGGCGAATAATTTATTTGTGACATATTGTTCATTGGATTTGATGGGGAATATGATTGGTTGTACTGTGTTGGATTTGTGTTCCAATATATGGTGTATTATTATATGGTGTACTATATGTTTGAGGTTCTTGTGTATGCCATTGTTGATTGTTAAACTTATTTTGCTCTTGTTTATTTTTAAGTGCGAGTGGATTATTTTGTTCTATGTTGCTTTGATGTTGTTTATTTTGTTCGTTGTCTATAAGTAGGCCACACATAATTTTTAAGTTATTTAATTCTACGCGTAATTTATCGATTTCATTTTCTTTTGTAGCTTTATCGGTGTTAATTTATTGGAGTTTAGATTTTATTAATTCTGTTTCGAAATCAAGTGAAGTTTTAGGAGTGTCACCTGTTATCATAAATTCAACCATTTCATATTTCCGAACATTACTTTTTAATTCTGTTAAATTTTCATTTCCCATTATTCCTATGTATCGTGCTATGGAGGGGTCTAAGCCTTTCATTATATTGCGGACTATTTCCTCTTGTGACATTTTACAATCAATGCGCCTACATAATGACTCAGCATCGTTAATGTAAGATACCGTGTGTTCATCTGGAAGCTGTTTACGTTTTTCTAACATTAATCGGAGCATATCGGTCTGCGCTATTGGTTCAAATTCTAACCTAATTTTTTTTTCTAAATCAGCCCATTTTAGGTCTTCACCACTATCTATTATGTTATCATAAAAAGTAAGGGCGGAACCTTTCAAAAATACAGGGATATATTGAGTTTTTTCGGCTTCAGACCAGCCATTTATGATGGCAGCTCTATCATATTTTTTTAGAAACGTGTCGATGTTTTCAAAAATCAAACCTGTGAAATTGCTTGGTTTTAAATATGGTTTGTTATTCTTAGGCATATTGTTTTTTTATTATATTACCGTTAGATTTGTCAATTGGTTCTGAGATAAATGATATAATGGTTATTTGCGTATCGAAATCGTCTGAAATGGCTTCCCCCTTTAAATATTTTTGTAACCTAGTTTTTAGATCTGTAACCATATCGGATGTTTTTAGGTATCTTCTAGATAATTCAGTAATTAATTTTTCTTTATTGCATTTATTTATCCAATTTGTTGCAGTATGCAATATAATGACCAATTGCATTTATAGTACTTGATATTGGTGGAAAAAAGTTAACAAGACCTCTTAGATAATAAAACTCATTTCTTATTTTGAGTATGTTTGGGATATCCTTTAATTGAGTATTTAAATCGAGATGATTTTTAACTTTCCGCTGTTTCGTAAGAGGTACGACTGGCTCAATGATTAAATGTTTTTTAAAGTCCAGAGACTGAGTCATATTTATGTTACAATTTTCACAGTTTGATGGTGAAAAATTATAATTGTCCATTATATCTTGTAAGAAAATGAGGTCATCAGTTGGTAAATTTATTATTAAAATTATTTCTTCCCTGAAACTTGTATTTAAACAAACATCATGGCATACCATTGTTCCGATAATTGAAGGGAAGTTATTAAACAACTTTTTTAATATAAATTTACCAGTACAGGATGTGTCTAATACTATAGAGATCCATCAGGCTGTACACATCCTGTACTGGTAAATTTATATTAAAAAAGTTGTTTAATAACTTCCCTTCAATTTTCGGAACAATGGTTTACAAAGTATACAAACTTGTATGAATACATTTGTTTCTATGTAGGTACTAAAAAAAAATTGCAGATATATATAATTATTAATTACAAAGTGATGTGAACATTTAAAAAAAAGATGTCTATTTATTTATATGTATTTTATAATGTACGTATACACGTGTTAAACTAAGAAAAAAATAAGTACATACAGTTGGAAAAAAAATTAATTAAATTGAATTTTTAAATTATTTAAATTCTACTTAGCTCTAGTTTAGTCAATTTTGGGTTTAGGACAAAAGTTGATACATCAAAATGGCTTGAAAAAAATCGATGAACCCGAATATGATATTAAAATTACGGGTTGCCATTTAAAAAAATGTAAGTTTTATTGCGCATGTGCAAGATACATGAGTTAAAAACTTAAAAACATTGTGAGTCAAAGAAATTTACGATCCATTAGTCTAGTTTAATGTCCCGCAAACAGAATTGAAAAATATTTACATGGTAATGAGTAGTAAAGTGGCCCCTGATTTTTGGGACACACGGTATACATATATGTAATATGTATTATATATTTATATAGAGCAGCGGTTCCCAACCTGGGGGTAATTACCCCCTAAGGGGTAAAAACACGATTTTTTGGGGGGTAAAAGTTAAACTTGTATTTGTATTTGTATTTAAATGTAAATGAAATTGTATTAATATAATATTGTTGTTAATAGTTTTGGGAAATACCTTATCTTATGTCCTAATGACACTGATCATTTTATTATCTTCAGATAATACTTCGAGTCTTAGAATATTACATTATATTGAATTTCCTGGAATTATTTTTGTTGTACAATTGTCTACACATTTTATATATATTATATTTTATATTTTATTCATTTTAATTATTATCATAATATATATTTTGTTTTTTTTTTCTTACTCAACTTTTTTTTGGGTCGGGGGTATATGTTAATATCTAACCTGACTTATGGGTAATAGTCTCAAAAAGGTTGGGAACCGCTGATATAGAGTATAGACATTTACCATTATAGACATTACTAATACTATATTATATTAATTATATTCAATAACTGAAATTACAGGCCTGTGATAACTGAAATATGATACGTACCTATGTTTGTTCCAAATATCTTGAAAATACTTCATCTATAGTGGTGTCATCTCACGTTGTAGATTCTGCTGGATTGTTAATCATAGGTTAGGTTATATACCTATGATTGAATGTGTCAATAAAGAAAGTGTTAAAAGTTTCCGATTTATTATCAGTAAAATTGATGTTTAAGTCGCCAAATTGTTATAATTTATAAATTATAATAATTATAAATATTATTACGCTGTTTCAAATCCTCGGGTTATACCCGTTTTCTATTATCTAGTCCATACCAAACGGGACGCACAAAAAATGTATTCCACGACAAAGGTAAAGCACTACATAGGGATATATGCAACAATCAGATTATTCTACGAAAACAATTTCATGAAATAAAAATTTTTATGTGTCACCATGCAAGGAGATTATAATATTTATATGAGGTGAAATTTTTGTGAAAAACACACATAAAATATTATATTAGTTTGTATCAGTTACCAAATAAAAATATACAAAGAAATAATTACAACTGTTGGACTAATTTTACTTCTGTTTTATCAATTAGATACGGTGTCCGACTAACACTGGTACCGTATTACTAATACCGCGCCCAGTCGTAGATAAAAAGCAGCTACTTGTTGCTGTCGGTAGGGGTGCTATGCGTAAGCAAAATTATTAGTTATTTATTACCCATTTATAACTTTCATAATTTTTTTTCCATGCACTTTTAACCAAGTATATTCTATAATGCGGTATCGACTTTTCATTTTTCATTATTGTCAGGTCTTTCCGCGGTCACGCCCTGCAGTATAATGTTATGTGATTATTATTATTATTATTATTATTATTATTATTATACGACAGAAAAACCGTCGATTTTTATGTTTCCTGTTTCGCTCCACGGACGCCGTCGGTTGTGCATTTTTTCAATTTATCGAACGTAATTATTTTCGCCCCCGGTCTGCAAGTAGGTAGGTACTCTCGATAATATTATATATTATTGTTAAAATGACGTGCTGCAGCGGATCGTCTCGGCAGGGCGACCGCAGTGTCTATAATACAGGTAGGTATATTATAATGATAATATTATTATTATGATGATAATACTGCGGAGCGATATTAATATTATATGGGTAGGTATTTCGTCGTTGCTTTTAACGATCGGGCGATTAAGCAAATAATATGCTTTTACGCGGCGAAATTTACGACGACGCGCTCAAGTTTTTTGTAATATATTTTATAATAATAATGATGAGCGCTGTACCTACGCTGTTTATCCGGAGAATCGAGAGCCGAACGACGATAAACGTGTTACATAAATATGATAAAAATAATATCGGTCGGCGAGACGGACGCCATTATAGGGCGCGTTCTCGGAGACGACGGATTTAGACGTGCAGACGTATATAGGTAGGTTGCTGCAGTGGCTACAGATTTCTACAAAATTGTGTTTGTGGGGGGAGAGGAGGGGATCAATAAAAAAAACTTATTAAATTTGTATTGTTTGCAGTAGAGAAGACTTTTATACTTGTATGACCAGTTGAGATACCGCGATGGCATACCTATATAGTCTATACTATAATATAATAATAATATTAAATACTGCTGAGCATCCCACTGAAATAAATAACGTTTTTAACAACTTTTTATTGATATTCATTTATAATCTATTATTATATTACTGCAGCCCACTTAAAACATTATATATTATTGTTGCGCCCAAGTCCGATCTAAAACTTTCATTCTTCTGGGAGATTTTTTTTTTTTTCATAAAAGCGCGGTCAATAAAATTCTCTTTCTACGCATGGCATACCAGCTGTATGGTAGTTCCCACGCCTAATAACGAAAGATTGTTATATTAATAACATGATTATTATTGTTGTGTCAGAGTGATTTTTATTATTATTGTGTCGCGTGCGTGGGCGGAGCCCTTAAGACACTGCAGCGCGTAGACTCAGTAATAATTTATTTTATTTATTAATTGTCTGTTAGAACGATAAAATATGCTTGCGCCTTATTATAGTTGTGTGATATGATTACGAGTGTTCCCGAATGGTGCTCTAAAATGTATGAGTGGTGGAGGGTGGGTGAACAATGGTAATAGAGATGAATTTTTGGAGGAATGAAATGTTGAGAGTATTACGACATGATCTTCTAAATTGACAGTATTCGAACTATTCTTATTGATATCATAACACAGTTTGGAAACGGAATCGAACGGCAACGGGAGGAGTCGATTTATTATTCGGCCGACCGCGAAAAAAATACCTTTTCGGAACCGATTCGGCCTGAAGCAGTGCCCTGCAGGGATGACAGGAGGAGACCGCGGTAACCAATTCGGTACCCGCACTGTATACCAGTAACCAATTCGGTGCCCCCGCTGTATACCAGCCCATATAGCCTTTCATATAGTTTCATCAGTACCTATACGATAGTTATTATCGTGTGATTTGTTTTTTAACGCCTTGCCGAAACGCATCGCGTAGACGCGCGTGTTTAAACGCCGCCGCCGCCGTCGTCGGACACTTGTCGAGCTCATAATTCACGTCATCTCTGGAAGACGTCCGCCGCCGCAACCGCCTAGATTGTGCATAATAATAATAACATACCTATACAGTATAATATCCCATACGGCTGCAACTCCCACACCATCACACGAATTTCACCGCACATTATAATAATACGTATGTGTGTGTGTGTGTGAGTAATTTACTTACGACGTACATGTACGCAGGTAGCCTCTCGAGGCGCGCAAATTGACGAATAAAATATATAATTGGAATATAAAGCTGGTGCGCGATCGCTTGTAAGGGCGGAGGTGCTCGCCTGCCGGTCGGTCGGGCGGAAGGATTTTGAAGTTTCGAGTGTACAGTGTGTGTGTGTGTGTGTGTGTGTGAAGGTTGAAGGGGCGCGGGGTACCGTCATTACTGTATGTTATATTATTATTTTTCACTCGTCGTCCGACACTAATTAAACTACGTGATTAATACAGTTTTTTTTTTAATTCATCTCCCTCTATACACTGCAGGTAGGTCGATGTGGTTCAGGTATAGGTCGGATGTGGTATACTGCAGGTTGAGGTTGTTGCGATCATATATTATGTGCTCGAGCGGTACCGTATATATTAAAACAATATAATTAAAATATGTACTCGCACAC